AGACAGAGACAGAGCGAGAGAGAGAGAGAGAGAGAGAGAGAGAGAGAGAGAGACAGAGAGAGAGGAGACAGTGAAGGAGACGGAGACAAAACGAAACAAAGAGAGACAGAAACGAAGGCAACATAAATAAATAAATAAATAAATTGAGCAAATAAATAAATAAATAAAACAGAATAGTGCAACCAACAAGAAACAGAAAGACAAACAAATAAACAAAACAAACAAAACAACAAATAAACAAACAAAACAACAAATAGACAAACAAAACAACAAATAGACAAACAAAACAATAAAAAAACAAATGCGGAGCGAAGGAGACCAACGACAAACAAAATGCTCAAATAAATAAATAAAATAAATTAAATAAAATAAAATAAATAAATAAATAAATAAAATTAATTAAAACAAAAAAGAAGACATAATAAGGCTGCAAACAAAGAAGCAAAGAATAAATAATAAAACAAAAAATAAGAATAAAACAGAGACAACACAAACAAATAAAAATAAAATAGACAAACAAAGACAGCAAACTTAAAGAAATGCAAACATAGTAATAATAATAAATATTATTATTATTATAAATCTATTATAATTATTAATAATTTTATTTATTAAATAAAATAAAATAAAGAAGAAGACACCAGAGCTACGCAAACAAAAAGCTATTGTTGATGCAAAACCCTAAACCCTAAACCTCGTTGCTAAGCCGAAAACCCCTGACAGTTAAACCCTAAATCTAAACCCTAAACCCTAAACCCTTATCAAGCCTTCAGCATTGCGTTTAGGTACAGCGAGTAGCCATTCCTTGACGGGCGAGGGTTTAGGGTTTAGGGTTTAGGGTTTACTGTCGTACGTATATCGCTGAGGTTTCTGTTGTTTGTTTAATCTAGGGTTTAGCTCCACGCCATAACCGGCACTCCTCTAAACCCTAAACCCTAAACCCTAAACCCTAACCCTCAGGACCAGAAGCAAAAGAATAAACCGCAAACTGTAAACCCTAAACCCTTGTGAAATTGGAGGGTTTATAAACGAAGTTTCTTTCGTTTGTTTGTCTTTGCTTGTTTATTTATTTATATATTAATGTTTGTTTGTTTATTTGCTTCCCCGCTTGTTTATTAATTTATTTATTTGTATATTTCGTCGCATCTTTATTTGTTTATTTGTTTTGTTTGTTTGTTTGTTTTTCTGTGTATATATTTGTTCATTCATTTGTTTATCTCTTTGTCTAGGTGTTTGCTTGTTTATTTGTTTATCTATATATATATATATGTATATATATATATATATATATATTATGTATATATATATTTATATATATATTTATTATTTATTTATTTATTTGTCTTCGTCTTTGTTTCTCTCTTCGTTTTTTCGTTTTGTTTGTGTGTTCGCATGCGTAAATGAGCAAAATGCATATTAACGCAAATAAACAAATAAAAAACTAAATACATAAAATAAAATAAATAAATAAATAAATAAATAAATAAATAAATAAATAAATAGAGCATGCAAATAAACAAACAAACAAATAAATAAATAAATATTTTTTTTTAATTTAAAATTTTGTTTTTTTGTTTGGAGTTTCAGCGACCGCCAAATCGAAGAAAATTTAAAAAGTGAAGGACGACGACAAATACGATGAGGGTTTATGAGGGTTTATTAGGGTTTATTAAAAGGTTTATGAGGGTTTATGATGGTTTATGAGGGTTTATGATGGTTTATTAGGGTTTATTAGGGTTTATGAGGGTTTATGAAGGCTAATAAGGGTTTATAAGGCTTTTCATGAGGGTTAATCAGGGTTTCTAATGGTTCCTAAGGGTTTAGCTAGGGTTTAGCTAGGGTTTGGCTAGGGTTTAGGAGGGTTTATAAGGGTAAACCCTTATACTTTATGAGGGTTTAAGGGTTTGAAAGGGCTTATAAATGTCGGTTTAAGGGTTTAGGGTTTAGGGTTTAGTTCGCTCATTGTTTTATTGAGGGTTAATAATGAAGCTTTAGAGGGTTTAGATAAGTTATATTTAGGGTTTGATTAGAGTTAACAATAGAAGGTATTCATAAAGATATATACATATATATATATATATATATCTATTGCGGGGTTAGGGTTTATGAGGGTTTATCTAGGGTTTAGTTAGGGTTTAGAAACGTTTAATCTAGGGTTTACTATCTAGGGTTTACGAGAATGAAATGGAGATGATTATGTTCGAATTTTCAAG